TGTCAATCTCCTGGTCCCTCCTCCCATTACTCATGAATATGACCCTGAGATACTTGAACTGGGTTTTTGAGTTCTCAGAACAGTTTGATCTCTAAGGTGTAGCTCATTGTTCCTCACTTGTTGCCTCAATAAGTTACAGGAAACATCCATAAAATGGTTACTGATACTTAATTCTTACGTAGCAGTGTGAGCAATGCATCACCTGCTGCCTCTGTGCCAGAACTTGTGTGGAGCGCACTTTATGATATCAGCAGCGAACAGATAAGGAGCAATAACAACATATTTTTGTCCTCCTTTTGCTCCTCCTCCAGATGGTGGCTCCCAAGGCAGCTATTAATCAGATAGATTAACAGTAGTTTTAGTGGCTTATTGACAACTAAAACTACTGTTAATCTATCTGAATATGACCTAAATTTACCATTTAGGTCATATTTGTAAATATTGTTTTTCTTATTCAGTCTTTTTTTTCCCTCCTATGAGCTGCTATTATACTATCCTGCTATACTACAGCGTAGTATTTGATCACATGGAACCTTTAAAAACAGCAGAAGGTAAGTTTCCTCATATTTGAGGCTGATTTCATGTGAATTATTTTGGTTTAAGAAAGTAAGACACCGGGTTTGCTGCCCTCTGCTGGTGCTGCCGACATCAAAGAACCGAAATTACTGGATTATTTTCAGTGCTCGCTAAGATTTTGGCATCAGATTTCCCTGAACATTCCTGCTCGCTTTAAATGCGTGAGTGAATGAATAATTCAGGATGCATAGAAACATTCTGCTGTTCATCACAAACTCAAACAACACATTTGTTGTTTCGGTCTTATTTGGATGAATCTACTTTATTATTTAGAAAATTTGACTCCTGTGTTTTTGTCACAATTTCACAGCAGCTCATGTTTACAAACTGTCATTTTGACATTAATATTAATCCAGCAGACCCACCGAGGCAGTTAATCCACGTCCTGATTGGACACAGTGGAACTCCATCTTCCATATTTCCGCTCCAGAAAGCTTTGACGTTTTTGTTAGTGTCATTATTGTGTGTGTGCCAGTTTTACCAAACTTTATTAGTTCTCATTTGGTTCAGTCCCACACGGTTTAAAGTGATAATTCAAAACTAATTTCTTGTTCAAAGGATTAAACAGCATCACAGAAATGTTTGCCTTATCCTGTGCTGCTCGATGATAAACCAGGAGGCTCAACTACTCACAAGGTTCAGAGTGAGGCTGAGCGGTCAGTATTAAACTATATGTTCATATATTTCAGCAGATGACAGAGTAGCTGTGAAACGTTTGCACACATGGTCAATCATTTGCAACAATGTATTTGCATTCACACATTCATTATTAACTTTGTGTGAATGACTTCAAGACTGTGATGTCTTTATTGTCACAATAACTGATGGATTTTATTCTCATTTCTAGGCGACAGTACTATTCAAATACTGTTGGAGCAGCAAGGCTGGCTCAGTGTTTTGCATCACCTAAACTATTAAAAGTTGAGAGATAATCAAACGACTGAAATGTTTGGTAGTTGTGTTCTGCACGGTCTTATTCTGAAGTGTGTCTGTTTCAGTGCTGCAGACTAAAAATCTTCACATGTGACACTTTTTATAGTCCAGACCGAGACTAAAACTTGTGTCTGTCGGTACGTGCTGAGATTCAATAAAAAACTTGAGATCGACAGCAGGCTCCCTTTATTTCTGTTGCTATAGCTTAATAAAGTCAGCGTTCGTCATACACAGAGACATACTGGGAAGCTACAGAAGCCTTCAACACTTACAGTACCAGTGACTGAAACAAACAACGATGAGGCAGAGGACTGAAAAGGAGTCAAACAAACAGTTTATACAAGAAAATAGTCATCGGCACTCATTAAGTTCATACTTTGAATAAATATTGCTTTTAAAATGACTCTGCCCCTCATCGTTGCTGGTTTATCACGTTTTATTTTCACTGCGTTAAATATCAAATATATTCCTTTACTGATGCATTTCTGTTATTGCTAACATCAAACGTACCTTACATGAGATACTGGATAATAGGCTTGTTGAAAGTACAAATTTCACAGAATATAACAGTCAGAGTTTGGTAGGATACACTGCAGATGATGGGCTTCTGGACATGCACGAGGACTCGATAGAAGTGGCTTAAGCAGGATCTCTCTGTCCGAGAGGAGGTGTCAGTCACATGGCCTTTCAAACATGCACTCTTTACTGGTATTTTACACATGTACAATACTTTTTTTT